AGCTCCTCAGCAAGGGGTAGGATTTCATGTACACACACAGACACGCACACACACACACACACACATACACACACATACACACACACACTCCACGCTGGGATTTGGTCTGTGTTGGGCATGCACAGGTCTTGCACATGCTCTCCCATGTATGCACCAGCTGCCCTGCTGGCTCCAAGTCTTAGTCAGGATTCCTACTGCTGTGAAGAGACTCCGAGACCACAGCAACTCCTACAAGGGAAAATATTTAGCTGGAGCTGGCTTACAGTTCAGAGGGGTCGTCATGGTGGGAAATATGGCAGTATGAAGGCAGACATGGTGCTGGAGAAGGAGCTGAGAGTTCTACACCCTGATCTGCAAGCAACAGGAAAGGAATTGTTGTACCGGGCGTGGCTTGAGCCTATATGAGCCCTCAAAGCCCGCCTCCACAGTGACATATTTCCTCCAACAAAGCCACGCCCACTCCAACAATACCACACCTCCTAATAGTGCTACTCCCATGAGTCCTTGGGGGCCATAGCCATTCAAACTACCTCAATCCAGAAGTGCCATTCGACTGCCTCTGGCTCTTACCCTCTGGACCTTTTTAATGGTCATATTTGCCAAGTGTAGAAAAAGGTTAACAGGGCAAACCTAAGTCATACTTCTAGAAAGATCTGCATGCAGAGCTGGCCTTTGGTTGGTCTCAAGGAACCTGGCAGTCACACAATCTTGTAGACCAACAACTTACTGATAAGGAACCACAGTCAGCTGTCCCTTGTGCACTTGTACAAAGGGTTGTGCTTGTGAAGCCCTGCCCGGGACACGAGGCTTCTCCTCTGCAGACAGACACCTGTCTGCACAATCCCAAAACTCACAGGGTCAAGGAATTCCAGAATTCCTTCTGGGACTTTGGAATTTCACTGTGGGATAGGCCCACGTGTGGCTACTTGTCTATTCCCAGCAAAAAATGTTAAGATTCTTGCCAGGCTCAACACAAGCTTTTAATCCTAGGACTCAGGAGGCAGAGGCAGGTAAAACTCAGGTTAAGTTCGAGGCCAGCTAGGGCAATATGATGTGATTCTGTCTCTAAAGAGAAAGCCAGAGGAGAGGAGAGGAGAGAGGAGGGGAGGGAAGGAAGAAGAGGGGAAAGAGGAGAGGGGAGGAGGGAAGTGGAGAAGAAGAGAAGAGGAAAAGAAAGAAAAGGTAATCTAGAATTCTGTTAGGTTTGGATATAACACACCCATTCAAAAAGTTCGGGTATCAGAGGTTGATCTTAATGGACATAACCCAGTGTTTACAAGTAGAGGTTTTAGGAACCAGTTGGATCATGATGATTTGGTCCTCATGAAGGGACTGGTCCATGTGAGGGGGGGCTGAATTGTGCAAGGTGGGGCCTGGTCAGAGAGTGTACACCACTAGGGCTATGTTGTGTGTGTGTACATCTTGCCTTGGCCACTCCTTGTTACTGTCTGTATTACCTACTTTTCTATGGCTATAAAATTCCGCAACTAAAAAGCAACTTAGGAAAGAAAGGGTTTGCTTGGGCTTATGGCTTCAGAGGGATAGTGTCCACCAGGGTGGGAAGGCATGGCAGCAGGAGAAAAAAGCAGGGTGGCAGAAGCAGGAAGCTGGCTGGTCACATGGTCATTCACGCTTTGGAAGAAGCTGAGAAGTAGGGCAGGAAGTGGGGTGAGGTTATAAACCCTCAAAACCCACCCACTCCCCAGTGACTGAATTTCTCCAGCAAGGCTCTAACTCCTAAAGATTCTATAACCTTCGCTCTCTCTCTCTCTTTCTCTCTCTCTCTCTCTCTCTCTCTCTTGCTCTCTCTCTCTTGTTTTAGTTTTTTGAGACAGGGTGACTGGGTTTCTCTGTACCTTTGGAGCCTAATCTGGAACTAGTTCTTGTAGACCAGGCTGGCCTCAAACTCACAGAGATCTTCCTTCCTCTGCCTCCCAAGTGCTGGGATTAAAGGTGTGTGCCGCCACTGCCTGGCCCATAACCTTCTCAACAGCGCCACCTACAGGGGATCAAGTATTCAAATACATGAGCCTATGAGGGACATTTCTCACTCAAAGCCCTATACTGCCCTCTCTTTTTCCTGTTCACAATGATGTGAGCAACCTCCTCCTCCGTATATTCCCACAGCCTGCTCTACTTCAGGCTCAGCAAAGGCTTCTGCAGAGCGAGTCCCAGCCTTAGCTTTTCCTAGCATAGAAAAGATACATGCCTGGTGTCCAGGACCTCAGGAACCAGGAATGATGGTGCATACCTGAGACCCTCACTTGGGAAGTGGAGACAGGAAGATTAGAAGTTCAGGCTCGAGGACATCTTCATGCTCACTGTGAGCATCTATTTCCAAATCCTCTTCAGGGACATCGACTCTGTAACTTGGGATCACAGTGGAAATATCTTCACCATGGTAACGGGCAAGCACTACTACCAGGAGTGCACCCTCTGTAGAGCCAGATGGGAAACATTTATCCCCTCCCCCATCCCATCTCGTCTGTCTGTCCACCAAGACCTACCCAGGCGTTTGTCAAGAATTGTGCTGTAATAATTATTTTTTTGAGACAGGGTCTCACATATCCCAGGATGGCCTCGAACTCAGTGTGCAGGTGGATGACCTTGAACTCCTGCCCCGTCGTTTATGCCTTCCAGTGCTGGGATTATGGTACTCAGAAGTAGACTCCACGCCGTGATATTCCAGTTGCGTTTGGGGCAGACAGCATGGGACCCTTGGCGACAAAGACCCTAATCTCCCAGACCCATTTCTTCTTTCACTTTCTAAAAGCTCTGTCCTCCAGTCTTTTCTGCCATACTTGTCTTGGAGCGCCCTGGTCACCTTCTTTGCCCCTTTCTGAAGCTTCTTGGTTGGATCTGTCCCCTCTTCCAAAGAGTCCTTTGTACCTGGAGGCACATGGTACCCTCATTAATGTTTACTGCATCCAGGCATGGAGCCAGGAGCTCAATAAACAGTAGTTCACTCTTTATCCCTCTAGACACCGCACAGGGAAGAAGAATTTCATCTTTGCTTCCCAGATAACGATGATAACACCACAGCTGGCAGAGCCAGGCTCCAAAGCGGCCCTGCTTGCCCCTGCTGCAGAGACTTCACCATGCTAGGCCACCGTTACTTTTTATGTGTTTGTTTGTCCAGTGGACACCAAGGTCTTAGGTATCGTGTCTGAAGTGGGTGTTTCAGAACCAGGATTGGTGCTGTGAACTTGAGATCCCAGAATTTAGGAGGCTGAGGTGGGGGAGTGTGAGTTCCAGGCCACACTGAGTTACAAGGTATCAGAGATAGAGGCGGGAGGAAGGGATGGGTAAGGAGGGGAAGAGAGAGAAGGGGAAGGAAGAAGAAAGGAAACAAAAAAGAGAAGGAAAGCCTTTCCGTCCTCACTTATGGGGAGGAACAGCCCGAAGTTGAGCCCTTAGACATTATAGAAAGTGTAACGGCAGAGATCCAGGGTGAAGGAGAAACTCCTCCTGAGAGCAAGACATGATCTTTGCTTGTAAGCAACTGGAAAATGGCCACACTTTGACTATAACATTCGAGAGAAGCCCACTCTCTATCTTATATTGAGACTTCATCCTAAGAGAGGGGAAAAGCGGCCTGGTGCAGTGGCGTATGCCTGTAGTCTTTCATTCCAGCACTCGGGAGGCAGAGGCAGGAGGATCTCTGAGTTCAAGACCAGGCCAGTCTACAGAGCCAGTTCCACGACAGCCAGGGCTACACAGAGAAACTCTGTCTCAGAAAAAAAATAAAATCACGAGAAAGAAAGGTGAGCCAGCTGGCCTGAAATGCTACAAGGAAGAAAATGGCAATTTAGTGAGTGTCCTTTGGATCAGTGAATGCTGGGTTTTTATGGCCAGGCCCATTGACAGATACTGCTGTGGTCAGACGGTGCCCGCTGGGCTGCTTCAGCAACTGGAAGATAAGGAGTCGTGTGAGTTACTGGAGAGATTAGAACTGTGGAGACAAACAAACCAAGAGTTAGAAGGTACAGGCAAGGGCTCAGTAGGTGAAAGTGCCTGTTGCCAAGCCTGGCGACTTGTTTATCCTCAGGATCCAAAACAGACGAGGTAGAAGCAGAAAGTTGATTCCTTCAGGTTGCCCTCCAGTCTCCACGTGCCTGCCAGGGAATGTGTACGTGAGAATGTATGTGTGCAAACACACATACATAAATAAATGTAACTTAAAAAATGACGAGTGGAAAGAGAGAGGGAATACAGGAGGAAGGGAGGGGAAGTGAAGAAATGGGATAGCTAGGATTCCGTCCTCTGAGACTTGACTACAAAGAGTGTTTTGAAGTGCTGGGGAGACGGCTCCCTTTGTGAAGCCCTTGCCATTCAAGGGTTGGAACTCAAGCTGGGTCCCAGAATCCATGTGGAAAAGCCTGGCACAGTATGGCACTGTGTGTACAGTTATAAACCCAGCACTGGAGAACGGGTCCAGGAGAAACCCGGGGGCTAGCTGATCAACCAGCCTAGCCGAATTAGTAAGTCCCACGCTCACGGAGAGACCGCATCTCAAAAAACAATACGGGGCTCAGCAAACGTCCTTGCAGCTAAACCTGATGACCCAAGCTCTACGATTGGGACCCACGTGGTAAAAGGAGAACGCTGCCTCCCGCAAGATGGTCTCTGACCTCCTCAGAAGCATTCTGCATGCACTTGAGAGAGACTGCAATCACGCACGTGCATGCTTGAATTTCTGAATGCTCTTGTGAGTGCGTGCACACACACAAAACTAAATAAATGTAAAATTTAAAACTGGGTGCATGGCTTCTGAGGCATGACACCCGAGGTTGGCTTTGAGTTCCATATGCACCCCAAAATACTTATGCACACCCATGTACACAAGTACATGACATTCACACGTGGGTACATGCACTTAACACAATGGCCACACGTTTCCTGACGTTGGTCCCCTCCATCATTCAAGGTTGCTCCTTCTGTCTTTAGGTGGCTTTGCTTTCCCCAGCTGTCTTCCTTCTCTTTCCTTGAGTTCAACCTCTCCCTAGCTCTTCTGTCCTGCTGGGACCTCCAAGGAGAGATGGAATCATGATATTGAAATGGACAACAGGGTCCCTTGGGGCTGAAGCTGTTTCTTTGAACACCCCAGCTGGACTAGCTGGTTAGAGATATCACTAAATTTGTTTGCTAATCTGGGTTTCTTGTTCATGTTCAAGGCAAGTCTTTGACAAGCCTCCCATAGACCAAAGGGCAAGACAATCCATAGAGGCCACCTGTGCCCCCTCCCTGCCTCTGTCTTGGGCCACGCCCCTTCCTGGATTGGGCTTAGGTATGTGGGGTAGAAGTTCATCTCTAGAGTGGCCCAGTGGGCACCCCCTGATGAGAGTAGCTCTCACCCCAATCAGTCGTTTCCATCTAACTCTGTTTATTGTGGGCCAGTCAACATCTTGAAAGCCCTTGCGAATTCCCCATTGTGCAAAGCCAGGTGAGGTGAAATCCTCAGCCTTCCCCTCCGCACCCTCCCCTTCTCCTGAACCTCTGGATCTGAGTAAGTCAAGGGGAAGACCGCTTCTCAACTTGGTGTTTGAACCTTCACAGGGTCACCTCTAGGTAAGTGGTTCTCAGGATTCCCCTGTGCCTAGTACCCTTGGAGTGTGTGTGTGTGGGGAGTGTGTGTGTGTGTGGTGTGTGTGTGTGTGGTGTGTGTGTGTGTGTGTGTGTGTGTGTGTGTGGTGTGCACACATGTGTGTCTGACTGACTGAAAGCAAGGAAAGAGGATGCTACAAATGGTTGTGACACCACCAATCTGTTCTGAATCTTCTGTGCTTCCTACCTCAATCTTGTCCAAGTTCCTAGCACCTGTGACTTCCCCTTATTTCAAACCCCAGATGTCCTGCTCACTTTGGGAGGCAAGGGTATGACAGGAACTAAAAGGGACCTGAGGATGGTGGGTGATGATGGTAACAATGAGGGTCAAAAGGAAGGGCCAGAACCTGGAGGGATGGCTCAGAGGTTAGAACATTGGCTGCTCTTCCAGAGGCCCCAAGTTCGAGTCCCAGCTCCCACATGGTGTCTCACAGTCCTCAGTAACTCCAGATGCTTGGGACTGTAGACCAGAAGGGATCTCCACAGGCACATGGTACATAGAGAGAATTTGGAAAACTCTCATACATATATAAATATTTATCTATATAAATAAATATATCTTTATTTTGAAAAGGAAGGGACAGATGGGAGAAGAAAGCATGATATGGAATGGGTGCCACTCAACAGAGGGCATTTGTCCAGCACACGATGAGGACAAGGGATCCTCCCTGGGAAGGCATGGGGTCAGCCTGCTCTGTCCCACCTTAGGGCTCTTTTGAGCTCGTCATCAAAATCTCTGTCTTAGTTTTCTCCCTGGTGAAATAGGGATAATACAAGGACCAGAGAAAAGTTCAGAGAATAGTTATAGCTGTAGATCACTGGCAGAGCGTTTGCCTAGAATCCCCCAGTAAGGGGGCGGAAGCACGGCTCACTGGTAGAGTGTCTGCCTAGAATCCCCCAGTAAGGGGGCGGAAGCACGGCTCGCTGGTAGAGTGTCTGCCTAGCAAATTCAAGGCTCTAAATTCCATTGAAAAGTTCAGAGGAGCCAGGCAGGACCCAGAGCAGTGGTTCTCAACTTTCCTAATGTTGCCACCATCATGTTATAGGACCCCGACCAGGAAATTATCTTCCTTGCTACTTTATAAGTGTCATTTTGTTACTGTTATGAATTGTAATGTAAATATCTGTGTTTTCCAATGTTCAGTGATCCTGAAGGGGTTGTGATCCACAGGTTGAGAACCCTTGACCTAGAGGAACACCTACCACTGAAGGATGACAGTGTTGATACCACAGCGGGTTAGTGAATAATTAGTTTGATTAAATTTTATCATTGTGTTTGATCACAGGTGTAGCCAGCCTGTGGTCATGGGCCACATATCTCCCAGGATAGCTATGAATCAGGCCCAACACAAAAGGATAAACTTACTTTATGCATCATTAGAACTTTCTGCTATTATGTTTTTGGTAACTTAAAACAGTTTGGTCATTTTTTTTCTGGTTTTTGAGACAGAGTTTCTCTGTGTAGCCCTGGCTGTCCCCAAACTCACTCTCTAGACTAGGCTGGCTGACTTCAAACTCACAGAGATGAGTTCACCTGCCTCTGCCTTCAGAGTGCTGAGATTTAAAGGTGTGGACCGTCACTGCCTGGTTCATTTTGGTCATTTTCAAGCATGAACTTTGTTGGTGACTGTTTTGTACCATCCAGAGAATGATCTACAGTAGTCACACAGGTGGTTTTGAATGACTGAGCTTGTTAAGTTTATAGCAAGCCAAAGTTAAAGAATAAATAGCAAGAGCTATATAGATGATAGATAGATAGATAGATAGTTAGATAGATAGAAGACATTGAAGACAGATAGCTAGCTAGAATATAGACCGCTAGATAGATAAAAGATAGATGATGATAGATAGATCGTAGACATTGAAGATAGACAGGCAGACAGACAGACAGACAGACAGACAGACAGATAGATGATAGAAGGTAAGTAGACAGGAAGATGGGTAAAAACTATCATCAAATCCAGTACTCAAAGCATCCTGCAGAAAACAATGGGGAGGTCGAGGCAGCCAGCCAGAGTGTCCCACTGAGCTTTCTTCCCACAGATGAATGCCCAGTTTCTCTGCCCCACGGCGGGAAGCTTTGTATTAGAGGCTAGGCTGTAGAAATAGCTGTTGGAAACGGCGTCCCTTCTAGCTGGTCTTGAGGACATCATAATGTTTCACTCTTGGCTCTTTGATTGCTCTTTCCTCCCTGTCACAGAATTAGAGGAACAGCTACCCTCAGACACACATGCATAGGTGCATAGGTCTGGAATGGGGTACGAGGGGACACACACGCCCCCTTTCCAGTGTGGGACTGCCACAGCCCGTTTCTACAGTGCTAGGGATAGAACCCGGCACTCTACGAACTCTGGGTTGGCGTTTTCGAGAGAGGGTGTCACTCTGCAGTCCAGGTTATTGTCAAACTCATGGAAATCCTCCATCCTCAAACATCCTCCCCCCGCCCCTCCGCAAGTGCTGAGACTATGAGCTTCTTTAATTTATTTGTCTTTGAAACCATGTTTTCCTCTGCAGTGGAGCCTGATCTAGAATCCACAACACCCCTGCCTCAGCCTACCAAGGGCTGGGATTTGCAGGTCTCACCCTGTTCTGCAGACTCACTGTGTCACGCTCGTAAATGTTGTCTTTACTGCTTTGAGCAGCCGTTGAAGATCTCCTAGCTCGATCCTCCTGTGTCAGGTGGCATTCTGTGGATGGTACTAAGCCCATTTACCAGACTGCTGCCACTGCATAGCACTATTGACCCAGCAGCTGCAGCAGCAGCTTTCCCTACATCCTAGTCTTGGGGGCTAGGATGAGACTGAGGCATGGGAAAGGATGGCTTCTTCCAAGAGCTGTGCAAAGGGCCCTATTCCAGGCCAGTTTCCTCCTACATGAATGGCCTTTGCTTTTTCCTCTGGCTTCACATCTTTCTCCTCTGTCCGAATCTGTCTATGTGTTCAAATTTCCTTTTTCTGTAAGAAAACCATTGATTGAGCTGGCTAGTGTAGCTCAGCAGAGAAGTACTTGCTAGAATCCCCCAGTGAGGGGCTAGGGTGTAGCTCAGTGGTAGAACCCCTGCCTAGAATCCCCCAGTGAGGGGCTGGGTGTGGCTCAGTGGTAGAGCCCCTGCCTAGAATCCCCCAGTGAGGGGCTGGGTGTGGCTCAATGGTAGAGCCCCTGCCTAGAATCCCCCAGTGAAGGGCTGGAGTGTGGATCAGCAATAGAACATTTGCCTATCAGGAAGCCCTAGATCCCGTTTCTGTAACTACAAAGAGATGAGAAGGGGTGAGGGGAAGACTAATATTCCTGGGTACAATGGTCTATGCCTGTTATCCCAGTACTTGCGAGTCTGAGGGCAAGAGAATCCTGAATTTGAGACCATTCTGTGTTATCTATTGAGATTCTGCCTCAAACAAACAAACAAGCAAACAAATAAACAAATGAATCTCAAATGAACCAAAGAGAAAACAACACTAATCCTTGCAATGGTGGCACACGCATGCCTTTAATCCCAGTGCTCAGGAGGCAGAGACAGATGGATTCTGTGAGTTTGAGGCCAGCCTGATCTACAGAGGGAGTTCTAGGACAGGAGAAGAGCACTAACCATACTGCTTGGGGCCCATCCAAATGAAAGTGTTTTAACTTGATCTTTTGAAAAGATTGCACCTTCTGAATAAGTCACATGCCAAAGTTCTGGCTATCAGCAGTCCGACATTTCGTGTATGGGTAGAGAAAACACAGAATTCCATCCTCAACCCATCTGTCCATTCCTTCATTTATCCGCACATCTAGGAATCTTTATGTTTATTCAGGCACCACTGACCTATTGCTGGCCACATTGTTCTGGATTTGGCCAGCGTATACGCCAATGAACTGGCTCTTCTTGTGTGATCCTTCTATCCGTCTAGCATATAAAGATATCCCAGCCTCTGCTTTCCCTACCTGAGGGCTGGATTGGTCATTTTCTTTTTTGCTTTATTTTTTGAGTCAAGATCTGGAATGGCTTGGAACTCTGTGTAACCTATTTTGGGGCCTAGAATTCACAACCTTCTTTGTATCTCATGAGGATTCTAGGCAGGTGCTCTACCACTGAGCCACACCCCAGCCCCTCACTGAGGAATTCTAGGCAGGTGCTCTACCACTGAGCCACACCCCAGCCCCTCACTGGGGGATTCTAGG